GACCTTAGAGAAGTTCCATCTGCAGATATCTAGGACAGAATTGTATCCAGAGGATTCAAAGTATGTGGACCAATTGTTATACGAAATGTCGACGAAGCCCATCTTGCACGTCGGTGAGTGTCCTTTCCTTAAAATAACGAATTAAACGGAGTAGTTTAAAAAAAGCAAATTATTTTCCAATAAATATTTTTATTAATATTAATAATAATACTGGGTTACAATAATTACATGGAAATTATAAAAATAAATTGCTACAGTAATTAGATTGGTTTGTTAGAAAAATATTTGCTGACGCTAGTCTATAAGATTCAGTAGAATTGGGCGGTTACTGGTCAGACGTCCGACCCGACGTACGCCGGATTTATGGAATTTCTGGACAAAACTGATAACTTAGGAACTAATTAATTTCCAGCATACACATATTAACAGCAGAGTAAAATAAAAATTAAAAGTATTGATCTGTACCAATTTACTTGGGAAACGAATTTTCATTGAATCTTTTGACCGTCCGAATTCGTTTATTTATATCTTCAAATTACACTTCTTATCTTATTAACAGATACCCAGGAACCCTCCAGTGATTCTAAGTATCAATGTAGAAGTAGAGTCTTTCTATTTTTATCTCATGACAAAGCATTGCGGCGCGGTGCATGATAATCGAAATTGTCGAGTAACACACGATCGAACGCGCTGTAATATAAATTTTCGTGCGACAGTGCACGCAAATCGTGTCTGGAATTTTTCCTACGACGAAATAATGGATGGTAAGCCGTGTTACGTACGCTTGTACTCTATGTATTCTATTTTACTGTGCTCGATCATTCGCATTAAAATAGACATTTAAAGATTTAACCAATTTAATATATATATATATATTATTATTATCCTCTAATAATATTAACTTCTTATGGTGATCATATTTAATTTTAATACTATCTCCAATAATTATACACTGATTATTGTAATTTAATAATTGTATAAATTAAATATTTACTGAGTTTTATAATAAGGAACGATCTTTCTGTTAAATCTCTTAATTCTGAAACATAATTCAGTCTTATAAAATATATGAAAGGTAAAACGTATAGTCGTAAGTGACGGATAAAAAGTCGGCACGGGTATCGAGTCCGGAAATTGCGCGTGGAACGTCGTGCCAGGTCTAATTTTAAAACGTCACGGTTCGGAAAAAATAGGATCGAGAGGGGGATCGTTAGCCCTCTCTCGAACTCGCTGTGTTTGCCCGGTCGTCTCTTTCCGTCGTGCCGGGCACGATCGTCCCGGTATTGTTAGTCAATGAACCACGTCGTAGCAATTACTAAGCACAAAGCCACGGCCACAATAACACCGGTTAATTGTCCGGCTTCATGGTCCGGAAAGAAATTAATTCCAACAGGGAAGATCATTGCGCCGCGCCGTTTCCCGGATTAATTTTATGCCATCCGACCGACCCTCCCGCCACCTTTTTGCTCCTCGCTGGTTTTACGGTAAATATGTTTCTGATAATTCTCTCGTGATACGTTTCACTCAATGATTCCTTTGGACAATCGACTGTTCATTAAAATTCATTTTGCTTCTGAATCTTTCAAGCAGTATAGAAACCTTGCAATAACTAGAGATTCATATCATCGGACAATAGGATAATTGCTAGATCATTTTTTGAAAATAGTTTTCTGTCGTTTTCTTGATAAAATATAAATTCAATTGGAATATTTGCCTCTATTTAGTTCGATCATCTTAATGTTTCATCGGCTGGATATCCACTTGTTTCTAGCTTGAAATTAGTCGCGCGAGATTAGAGGGAGTTTGAAACAATTCAACCCATCGATTTACGTCGAAATTCTTAATCGTCCGTGGATCTGGAATGCGATTTTGTCCGAGTGCTCGACGGTTCGATAAACAGATTGCGAGAGGAAGTCGATTGAAACAGGACCGACGCTCGCTGGTTCGTGGAAATTATTAAGCAGCATCGATTACCGTGGAGGAAATTCGATCAGGGGGTTGGGGGTGTGTTCTCGAACAAAGACAAGATTGAGCAGTGACTCTCCTCTCGGTGACAAAGCAGCCGGATCCAAGTTGCTGAACAATAATTAAATTGTGCATCGAGAAACTGCGTCAGACAGGAAATGGGGTTTCAATATCTGGTTAATGTCCAATGGAATTAGACATTCCATCTGCACTTCGATTTTCTAAGAAGGAGCATAAAACAGTTAATGTCTGTAGTGTTTTTTATTTTCCGATTCCCTATTCGTTTCCTTTTATTTATGTATAATTATATTCTTCATCAGCTATAATAATTATAAAATGCAATTATCAGTTCTAATATAATGATGATGTGTTTCAATTTTAAAATACAATTAAATACAACACGAAATAAAAATGCTGAATGCGTGCATAAATAAAATGAAATTATATTCCAGTACGTAATTGAAATCGTTTCAATCTCACTCAGAATCTTATTCAGATTCAATAAGTTCGATTAAAGTTTAAGTTGTTACTGACATTAATTTACTTGGTAAACAATAAAACGTTTGCTAAGTTCAGACGAAGAAAGTTTTCCACCCACCTGTTTTTCGATGCCCTTCCTTTTTTCCCATCGAGCGACCTTTGAACTTTTCTAGAGTTCAAGGTGAAATTCTCAACAAGGCCTTCTTCGATAATCGATAAATACTCGAACGTATCTGGGAACGACGAGGATAAAACTTCTAAAAAAGAATTCTAATTCTGGTTAGTTTCATTTTTCACTGGTGGAATTAAGAGTTAAGTGATTTCTATAAAGACACTCAGTCGTATGTGTGAAGAACTTCAATCTTAGTTAATATATTCAGAGACTGTGTCAATTTTAATTCCCTCTTAATTATTCTGTCATTTCCATCAGATCTTTTTTTACTTTTTAATCTGAGTACCTGTTGACAATAAAAGGAAGTGTAATCGATTTCATACGATTATTAAATTTTCAATGAATTGGCACACATGGATGAACTCGTTTCTTTCAATGAGAATCCGGCAATCGATAGCAGTATTTGAAAGCGCGTAAGTAGTTCGAGTCAATAATTTCAGCGACAAGACGCGACGGCGGGCAGACGATTAATTGTCCAGTATGATAAATTGACCGCGGGTAACCCGGACGGCTGGCACCTAAATTAGGCATATATCATTTATGAAATTGACACAGTGGACGACGAGCCCGCGGGTCGATATCACGTTCCGCGACGCCGCGCGCCGCACCGCGCCGTCTCCGCCAAGAAATTTTTCAAATCCTTCCCTCCTCTATTATGAAAAATGCACTGATACATCTTAAAGAAAATCTTTGAATTCAATTAAATTATGTAATGACTGAACGATTGCATTAGACTAGATTATATATATTTTTTATAATTTAGTATAATAGAATCTTCATTACAATTTTAACAATAATAATAATTGTATTAATGTAAATATGTTACAATCTCTTTTACCCTTTTTTCTATTTTAAAAGACTATAGAATTTTATATTTTTCTGATTACAGTTCAAAAGGAAGGTGGTACGCAGCTGAAACTCCAATTGAACTATTCAAACATGCAGGCACTATTCAAGCCCATGAGGTGAGTGCAAAAAAAAATTGCATTTAATAAATTCATGATTACAAATGCTTGACACCCAGTCAACAATTTTAGTAATATGATACGAGGAGAGGTACTCGCAAGAGAACTTTCTCAGTGAGTACTTATGAAATGATAAACTTCGCAAGAATTTTTCGTACGAGATCTGGCGTTCGGAATGTTTGACGACCAGTCGAGATTGAGTTTCTTATCCTCGAACGAATCGCGACAGGTGCAATATTTCGGATTTAACGAATGCGAACGGGGAGAGTAAAGTTTGCGAGCGTCATAGACGGTCTGGTCGGCGATACGATTCGGCCGGGTTTATTTCAACGGTAATCGAATCCTCGGTACCGTCGCGACGGATGCGACGGGGACAAGATATAGAATCGCGTTTAATTCCGTCGAAATCGATGTTAGTTCGGGAGATTAACAATTTATTTGATCGCTGAACTTGCGGGAAACGTTCCTCGCCGATCGCGAATTATAACCCGTTCCGCCCTCTCAACTTCAGTCGCCCGGCGAACTTGCGAGTCGTAGTAGTACAGAGAAACGTTTTCTCCTCCCCACGCCTCTTCTCCTCGTCGTGGCTGGCAAATAACTTCAAGTTTAAATAGCGTTTTAAGCAGCGCTGTTTTGAGTCACTTCACTCGGATTTAGTACGTCACCAAAACAAATTCCCGTAGTTTTCTTGTTTCAATTTTGAGCCCGTTTGGGAATTCTATGCGGTGCCAAGCGATTCTCCGCCTTTCCGCGCTCCATATCTTAGATCAGTTCGATCGCGAACGACTAAAACAGAGGAAACGTAATATCCTCGGTAGAGGAGCAGCGAGAAAATTCGGGGCACAAGGAAGAGGCTCGTCGCGTCGCTTATTGCGTGCTCCTCTCTCCATCTATCCTAGCCCCGACTCCGTTCGCACACACTTGGCCCTTTTAAACTTCCGGTCGGTCGAAGATTCCGCGATAAGTGCCCGGGACCGGCTTAAACTCCGGTAATAAGTTCGCCAATAAGTTTCCACGGAAAGTTTCTGTAAGTGTGCTGGCGGTGGTGGCCGCCTGACCCCCTCGTACTCCACCTCCTCCTGCTCCTCCTTCGAGCTTCCTGGAATTCCCGGACGAAATTGCGAGGCGTCCCGACGTCACCAATCCCGCAATAAGCTCTCGTTACACGTTAAGGAGGACGCCTCTTTTTCTCGTCCACTCGGGAACGGTACCAGTTTTCTCCTCTTCTTTTCCGCTAGCGCTCTCTCCCTCTCTTCCTCTCTCTCACTTTCTCACTTATTTGAAACGAGAACGAGAGATTCATTGAATGGACAATTTCTCTCGACGCTTTCCTTCCCGGGAAATTATTTCTTCGCGCTGATCTTTTTATCGCCGGGGCCGTGGCGTCAAGTCCCTTTGATTGCGAGCTAGAGCCAGTTTCCCGAGGCGAACCGGTGATTTTTGGTCGTCCGGCTTCGGCTCGCTGTCTTCTTCCTCTCTTTTCTCGCCGGTTGGATCATTTGGGGAGGAAATGGAAGATTTAAGGTGGGCGGGGAACGGGACAGGGCGAGAATTATAGGTTCTTAATAAAGTTAGAGTGATTAATGTGTTATAAATTATCTCGTAAATGACGATGTCCAACGAATAAATGTAATTTCATAGTGTTTAATCAATGGAACGGTAATGAAGTATTTAAATCTTAATAA